GGGGACCCCCTGCCAGCTCCCACCAGTGTTGCCTGATGCTCTCCCTTCTGCTGGCAGGTGGCATGATCAGCTTTGATGTCTTCCCGGAGGGCTGGGACAAGCGCTACTGCCTCAACGTGCTCGACGATGAGAGATTTGACACCATCCACTTCTTTGGGAACGAGACAACCCCTGTGAGTACGCCCTGCTGGCCCCACACACGGCCACTTTCCCTCCTTCAGCCTGGCAAGCCGGCGTGGAGCTGCTCCATCACAGGTCCCACAGCTGACACCGATCTCTGGCAGTGCAAGGGGAAGAGATGCCCTCATGTTTGCGGCAGCCTTGTGATGGCAGCAGGCCCACTGGGTTGTGGGGAAATCACCCTGGATTCTCTGTGCTGGGGAGCAAGTCCACCTCAGCATCACTTTTCTCCCCCCAGCACCCTTGGGAGGTGGGCAGCCACAGGACCCAAAACACAAGGCCCCGGCACTTAGGAGAGGGCTTTTCAACAGCAGGAACAACTCCACCTTCCCTTTAGAGTGGTGGAGGATGGTGCTTCCTTGCTGCTGTAGACCAGCTTGGCCATCCACTTGGCTCTTTCCAGATGGTAGCAACCTTTTCCTCCCAAATGTGCCCACCCCACCTCCACAGGCAGGGCAAGGGTTAACTCCAGGCTCCTGGACAAGCTTTGCTGGTCTAAGACCTTCTCCATCCTTTCTGCGCTCCTCCTCTGGCACTGAAGAGGGGAAGCAAGAGGGAGGGAGGGCTCCCAGCGCGGCCTCTTCTGCCTCCCTGGGCCAGGAAAGCCCTGGCAGCCCCTTCCCAGCAGGTCCCTGCCTGCCCAGCTGCTGGCTCTCAGCCCAGCTCCTCACAGGACAGAGCAAGATGCAGATTTACAAATGAGGATGCTTTGTTGAGACCCTGCTGACGTTTTCCCTGTTTTCTATTCCCCTGCAGGGAGGGAACGATTATGAAATCTATGATGATCCCCGCACGGTGGGACACAGCGTCCAGTCCCCCCAGGACACAGTCCAGCGATGCCGTGAAATCTTCTTTCCAGAGAGAGCAAACGAGTGCTGACTGACAGGTCCCCACAGCCCTGCCCTGGCCCCACCCTCTCCCCCTGCCGGGAAAAGCACCTTTATTTGAGGAATCTGCTCAGGGTAGACCCAAAAAAAAACCCACTTTCCAGATCTGGTGGGGATGTCCTGCGTGAGTGCGGGTGGGTGTGCAGGAGGGGGGCTTTGCTGAGCAGCCCTTTGGCACTCCCTATCTACGGCTCGGGCTCGTGGCACCAGACCCTCCTCACCTCCAGCAAAACTTCTCTCTTGACAGTTCAGGCCGTGGTGGGCGGCAATGCAGATGCTTTCGTGGTCGGAAAGCATTTGAAAGGGCCAGTCACGAGAGCACGTGTGTCCATCCCACGCTCTCTCCCCTCTTCTCGTCTTTTTCGCTGGTTCTCTTAGCACCTCTGCACGAGGGAACATGTGTCTCACCTTTCCCGCTTGCACCTTGGCTGGGGAGGATGGGGCTGCTGAGGCCCCCGGCACTCTCACCAGCGCTGCTCCAAAGCGAGAGGCCAGGAAGGCTGTTTACTCCAAGACCATGGTAGGAAGGGGTGGGTAGTTGCGACCCCAGCTCATTGCAGTGTTGTGCATCCTAATGGAGAGGATCAGTGTGTCCTTCACCTCGGTGCCACACCGCACTGGTCCCTACAGGTGACCTGGGAATGACAGTTTTAAAATGACTCTGCTCCTGCTCTGAGCTTTGCTCAGGTGTGTGAAGAAACTAATTCTCTCTTTAGCTTACAAAAAAAAAAAAAAAGGCTGCCATGGGTTTATTTTCCATATTCTGCAGAAGTTGTCAAGTCAGACCTTGGCTGGGGTGGCTGGAGGACCCCGAGTGCCTGGTATGTGCAGAGCACCTTGCAGAGCCATTGGGGCAGAAGGCTTCCCAACAGTCTTCCCACCCACCTGTCCATTAGGTGTCATGGACATGTCCATGTAAAACCTTACCCAAGACATTCATAACAGACTGAGTCCCCTTCCTTTCCAGCACTCACTTTCCACCGTGCTGCCAGAGACATTTTCAGAGAGGGACAAGACAGGCCAGACCTGGTTTCTAGTGTTGCTGGAGGTACACACTCAACAGTGCCCTCCAAGCTTGCTTTTCCACCCCATCTTGTCCCACATGCTTGGTTTACATGGTCACCCGCAGGGACACAGGTTCTCCAGTGCAGCTGTCACATGTCCTCCTGCTCCTCTCTCCTCCTGGCCTCTGTGGGTTGCAAAACCACACCTCTTCTTTGGCCCTTGACCTCCTCCATCATGTTGCCCCTTTATTCCTGGCCGTTATGCTGGGGTGTGTGACCACACCGGTGATGCCAGTCATAACTCAGTGCTCAAGAGGAGCTCAGGGATCCCCTCCAGGGAGATGTCCTGCTTATAGTTCCCCGGGACATACATACCTGGAGGGTGCTGGAGGTTCCTGCAAAAGCTCCCCACATTGTCCCCTGGGAGTCTTTCTCAGCACATCCCTGCTAGCATGGCACTGCCTCAGCTCTTGGTCTTGTTTTCTTTCCTCTCTTTCTCCTTTTCCTTCTTTCCTTGCTGTTGCTCTTTGTCTCCTAGCAGCTGGACTGCAGAGAGAAGTTTCTCAGCTGGCTACTGCCACTGAACCAAGGGGCCACATTCCTCAGGTGAGATACGTTGGTGCTTTTAGATGCAGGGCAGGGCTCCCACATTGCCATGGGCAGAGTCGTGAGTGGACTTTGGCAGCGCTGGCCAGGTGCTGTCTCCTCCACCTAACTGCACCTCTTTAACTCTACACCACATCAGGTCTGTAATGCATCACATTTGCATGAGTGCAGTAGTCTGCCTGGCATCCAGAAATCCCCAACAAATGCACAAATTTCTCTTTATACCCAGAGGAAAAGTTCTGTGTGGGAGAAGAGGACCTGTTGGAGAAGCCTGGAGTGTTTTGGCCCTCCACTGCAGCCTTCGTGGAGGAATCGTGTTTTGTGGTGCCTCCTCTTTTTCACTGTGGATCAGGTTACATGTGGGTTTTGGGGGTTTATTTTTCCTGTAAGCCTATTCAAAGGCAGCAGGATCTCTAGAGAGCTTGGTGGTGGGTAAAGAACAAGGGCTGGCCCTGAAGGCAGGAGGCACTGCGGTGGCCCTGGGGGCTGAGATGCCTTGCATATTTGAAGGGAAGGGCAGGCTCTGTCCAAGGCTGCTCCTGATGGCAGCACATCCCTTGCTCAGACTGGGAGGAGTTACAGAGTGAGCAGGGCAGAGGCAGAGATGATCTTCAAGGCACCAGCCATCGCTTTCTCTGCTCAGGAACACATGTGTGTTCCTGATCAGGTTCAGGAACTTTCCCCATTCCTCTGTCTGTCTTACACCAAGCTTGGGCTAGTTGAGGGCACCTCCTGCCAGTACACCCTGTCCTGCTGGAGAGATGACAAGGAGGATGGCATCAGAAGTAGCTGGGACAGCCCCAGGGTCTCAGAGTCACAGGATGGTTGAGGTTGAAGGGACCTCTAGAGGTCATCTTGTCCTACCCCTCTGCTCAAGCAGGGCCACCGGGTGTCCCGGCTGCCTGCCCTGTGTTTTTGCAGGCAGGGGTGAGGCACAGTAGTGGAGTAGGAGCCCTACACCTAGGGGATGGTGCATGCCTATCACTGAGACCCCTTTACCATGATGCTCCTCTTCTGGTGGGTGCCCACAGCATGACGGAGGGTTTCTCCCCACATGTGCATGAGCGACCAGACGGGGCAGGCCCCACACTGGGGACCGTCATGCCATATGGGTCCATATCTGTGCGAGACAGGTGGCTCCTGTCTGGCTGATACCAACTGTTAAATAAGAAATATATTTAAATACATATGTATATATATATGTATATTAAAAAAATAAAATTACTCATATTAAAGGTAGAACATGCAGCAGTTGGGGGCATCATGTGCTTTGTGCCAGGCTCTGCTGGAGTGAAACGCAGCCAGACGGCAGGCAGCCGC